TAGGCAAGAATATTTTATAGGTAATGGGTGTGCTTCCTAATGCATGAGACATTTAAAGTGGTCCCACCTTTGGTAATGCTGAGATTGATCAGTGGGTTCATGTCAGGTTGTGTTATCTTGATTATTCCATTAGGAAGTTCCTTTTCAACCTTTCATTTAATAGTTTGGCTTCCATTTATAATCACTGCCTTGGACCTATTATTTTTTATTAGGGGTTATAAAATGGTGATTTTCTAATTCTATTATTTCTTCTCCATGTATTGGCTAGAATTCTTCTATGAAGACTGTCTTTAATTATTTGTTACTATTAATACAGTTTTTTAGGGGATATAGGATAAATGTTTTTCTTTTCCATTCTTTATTAATTTTCACAGTATTAAGTTGCTGTCCTAGCAACTTCCAATGGTGACCAGTAACATGAGTTATTACGAACTCATTATGCCATTTATTGATGTATTTCAATGTGTTTGTTATTTATTTTGATGTTTAAAATGTCATATCTTAGACCATTGTGGATCTAAAGCCTTATCAAATTACTCTCATTCCTTTTTGCATGATTCTCTTGCCCAGAACTTTAAAGGGTCTTAGACCCTTTTACTCATTTGCAAGCTAGTAAGTTAATGTGGCACAGTTTCCTATTAAATAGATGGTAGTAGAAGACATGAGACACCTGAGGTCAGAAGTGAAGGGCAGTGTGTTACAGCAGTACCAACAGCCAGAGTATCAGCATTTCTGTGCCAGTGTCCTGAGCTCCAGTGTCCACAGAGCAGTGCAAAGAATTGTAGAGAGGGATAGATGGTACCTGTGTATGCAATGGATTGCTTTACAGGAGAGGAACTCAGTTAGGGGACCTTAATCTTTTATAATGGGCAGTAAACATGTCTTCCCTCTGTTCCAGAGGGGGATACCATATCTTCCAAGGCTGTTCATTATATTAATATAAACATCCTTGAATAGAGTCTAGAATGAAGGGCAGTCACTGCACTTCACTTTGCAGTATGTACAGTAATGTGGGAAGCTCATGGAGAATTGTCTCCCAACATCTATCCCTTATTTCTATACTGTCTTTTTTATTGTTACTATGATTATAAGAGAGAGAGGGTCTTGAACTGTTGTCTAGGTTGGAAAGCAGTGACACGATTGTAGCTCGCTGTAACCTCTTACTCTGGACACCATGTTTTGTAGTTGGATGACTTCACAGTAGGAATGACCAACCACAAGGTGTGAAAAAAGAATGAGTCAATTATACCTCTGGGAGGCTTCTGTGAATAACCAAGCATAACCTTATTTGGGAGAGATCTTCACAGTCATATGTGGGCTATAGGATCTCCTGGTGGTATTTCCTTAAACAATGGAAGGTCTCTGATACCCACACCTAACGTACAACTCACTATGTTTTGAGAAGAGAGGCAAGTTAATGCCAACTTAAACTAAAGAAATGGAGTTCCAAGAGCACACCTACTGCCCCTGTAAAGAAAGCATTTGTTTATAATTTGGAAAACTCTCTACATCAGTTAAGCTGCATATATTGACAATGCCTTCAACATGGCCTAACAACCAGCTGTTAGTTCCTAGTTCAGTGCAAATAATTGATTCTAGTTTTTGGTTTTGGAGAGACTGCTTTGTGGGCAGTCATTCCATCCTGTCGTGTTTTGCCCACACCAACAGCTGAGTGTCATTCGACTGCCCTTTGCAACGACTTAGCAATGGCTACAGAAAAGGGGGAGGCATCCAGAGTTGCGTGAAAGGGTTAGGTCCTGGAGCCAAGGCCATTATGTACAGTTTCTGATAGTTTTCTCAGTAAGGTTTTAAGGGGAAAGATAGTCAAATCATGCTTAGAGCCATCTGATGGAGGATGACAGACCCAGCAGTTAGTTAAATTTAATGTTTTCATGACAGTTTGGGAGAGCTACATTTTCCTTGGTGAAGAAGGCTCTGTTTTCAGAAAAACAGAGACCCTTAACATTCTTCCTTCCCTCGTACCCTTCCCAGGTGTCAAGGTTGTTCTCTCTCCACTGCCTCAAAATCACTTGTACCATTTCAGTAGCTATAAGTGTACCTACCTTTTTCCAGTTATTTCCTACTTGCAACCACACATTTTGTCTAGAATGGTCAAGTGCAAGAGAGATAAGGCATTTTTATAAAACTTATAGAAACCTATTATGTCCCCCATGGGCCACCTTAGGAAGATTCAGCAAATAATGTACTCAAATAAGTGGTCATTATCTTATGATTTAGGACCAGGTCAATCCAGGTGGCTATACAGAATTAAGTTAGAATCTTCTAAGGATTCTTTGGCCAGACTGCCATATGGAAGTTGTACCACCTAGGCTGCCTGGAGTTGTCATTGGGGAAAATAAAGAAGCATGCCAGGAGTGGTCAGGGCAGAATTGTAAATTTTCAAAATAGGTCAAAAACTTCATTTATTATTTTGTATTTTTTCTTTATGCTCTTTTAAAGTTTTGAATTCAGTAGAATTTAATTTTGTGTAGAGTAGGAGGCTAGAATTCAATTTTAATTGCCTGTGGGTAATCAGTTATTAGAATACTTTTCTCTATGATCTATAGTGTCAGCTGATTCACAAATGAAATTTTCATATATGTGTGTTCCTGTGTGTTCTATTTTATTCGTTTCGTTCTCTCCACAGTGTCCTAATTTACCCAAGTTTTATGATATTTTTAGCTATCTGATTGAGTTCTCCAACCTTCTTTACAATTAGCTTTGCCACTCTTACTTTTGGCCCTTGGTGTGTCTATATACATTTTAGAATCTACTTGTCAGGTCACTTAGACACACATACACACACACAAACACACACAATTACAGTTTTTATTGGAATTGCATTACATTTATAATCAATTTGGAGAGAATTTCATTGTTATAATATTGACTCTTCTAATCTATGAACATAGCACATCTCTCTATTTAAGACTTATCTTTTTTTATAGCATCTCCCTGTTAAACATACATCAATGTAGAAAAAAAGAACCTTGACCTCTATGTCATACCATACTCCCAAATTAACTTAAAATGTATCATAGATCTCAATGTAAAAGCTAAAACCATAAAGCTTCTAGAAGAAAGCATAGAATATCTTTTTTAGGTAGGCAGAGATTTCTTACAGAGGCCATAGAAAGCATGAATCATAATGGAAACAATTTTTGATTAATTAAACTTCATCAAAAAATGTCAAACTTCTGCTTATCAAAAGACATTATTAAGAAAATAAGTTGGCAAGCTGCAGACTAGAAGAAAGTATTTGCCATGAATATATGTGCTTTTCCTTTGAAAAGCAACTTATTAATAAAAATGGTTAAAAATCTTGAGTAGATATTTCACAAAGGGCCATACCAATGACCAAATCACATGAAAAGTGTTCAGCATCATTAGGCATCAAGGAAATGCAAATCCAAATCACAGGGAGTTATCACTACCCACAAGGATGACTAAAATGGAAGGAAAAAAAAAGACAGCAGCAAATATTGGAAAGGCTATAGGGCCACCAGAACTCTCATTTATTTGGGGGAATATAAAATGTTATAATTATTTTGGAAAACTGTCAGTTTCCTAAAATGTTAAACATATTGCAGTTTTATACTCAGATACTAATCCAAGAGAAATCAAAACATGTTCACAGAAAGGCTTATACAAGATTTTCATAGCAGCTTAATTCACAATAGCCAAAAAATGGGAAGAGCCATGTCTGTCAGTAGAAGAAAGAATAAACATACTTGCATGTTCATACTACTCAACAGTAAAAGAACCAGACTACTGATATATCGAATACCATGGATAAGTCTCATACGTCGAATATCATGGATAAGTTTCATTCATGCTGGATGAACAAAGCTCAAAAATTATGTATTATTAGATATATATGAAATTCTAGAATAGAGAAAACCGAACTGTGGTGATAGAAATCAAATCGGTGGTTCCTCAGCAGAAGTTGGCTGAGAAGGAGCATGAAGGAACTTTATGGGACAGTGGAAATTTTTTGAGTCTTATTAAGGGTGTGGATTACATGAGTATATGTGGATCAAATGGTACACTCAAGATCTGAGCATTTTTCTGCATGTAAAATATGTTTCAGTTTTTAAAAATGTGATATTCTGAGTCTCCGTTAATTGGAGTTCTTTAATAGTTACAGAGACAGGATATTTAACTAAATTCTATATTTTGCTTGAGCTTTTTGATCAGTTATACAATCTGAGGAACTGTTTTTAGGACCTTGGCAGAGTTCAAGAGTAGTTTTTATAAAAATGGAAAAGATAATCCTTACAGATTCCATGGGGTACCATGGAACCTGTAAGAGATCTGTAGAACCATGTGAGATCTGTAGAATTTCACATGCCAGGTCTGTACTTCTGATAACCGTACTCCAAACCAGTGGTTCTAAGTCAGGGACCATTTTGTCCCACAGGATATGTTTGGCAATATCTGTAGACATTTTGATTGTCATGATTGCAGGGTATAGGAAGGGTGTTGTGCTACTGGCCTCTAGTGGGTAGAAGCCACAGAGGCTGCTGAACATCCTACAATGCCCAGGACAGCCCCCTGAAACAAAGAATTATTTGGTATAACATGCCATTTGAGGTTGAGAAAGCTTGTTCTAGACTTGCTGTAACCACCAAAGCTGAGTCAGTCTCAGTTGATTGGTGTTGATTATACTCATAGTTGAAATCAATTGTGGAAACTTGGCATTTTCACAGATTACATATTTCTTCCTTAACAGAATTTAATATGAATATTTGTAAACATACATAATCTTAAAATTTGAGATAAAAGACCATGCATTAAGAACACTTCCAAAATCAAAATTATATGTATCATTTCTGTTGATTGTTAAACTCTTAAGATGCTGTAATTTTTGTTTTTAACTGTTATTGCATTAAATATCCAAACTAATGACCCTAGTTATCTTCCTATTTTAAAAAAGGCTTTATTATCAAATCAGAGGAAGGTAAATGATACTAATTTATCTTTTTCCCCCCACTCCACAGAATGACAGGAAGAGAGTTTTTCTCTCGTTTTCCAGAACTCTATCCTTTTCTTCTCAAACAGTTGGAAGCTGTAGCCAATACAGTGGACAGGTAAGGGGGAGAGAATTGGGTGGGGCAAAATGAAATTGAGGATGTGAATTACTTCATTAATTGAGATTTTCCCCATAGGCAACTGTTTTTAATAACCCCTTGTAACACAGATGGCTTTCTTTTTAAGTGCTTCTTTATAATTACATCATGTTGCCTGGCTGGCTCTCCATAGTAGATTTGTACATGAAAAGTTGTATAAAATACTGTTTTTATATTGTATTTTATATTTTAAGCCCTTTTTTATTTTAAATTTGGTAAAATTTCAGTTTCTTCAGTGTTATATAGGAAGTAACTTAGAAACATAGTGATTTCATCTGTTCAGAATTGTTTTCTTCCTATTATTTTTTTTTAAATCTGTGTGTTTACATACTGAGTTTGCTTAATCCGCACCTGTCATTTTTTATCACTGGCCTGTTGCAACTTACCATTGTGAAACTACAGTACTTAGCTGACTAATCTGGAACCTATAATCATAAATGGTACTGATCTATCTGAGCAAAAATGGCCAGTGACTGTCGAAAAACTAACCAAAGCCATCAAGAGGGCTTCCGATCTTACTAGGGTAGATAGAAAAATTCACCATTGTCCTTCTAATCACATCGTCTAGCTAGTAGTAGAATTTTTAGTATGGACATCTTAGAACATGTGCTTTTCTATTCTTCCAGCAATTTTTGTACTTGGTATGAATGTACACTAGCTGTCTATAATTAGAAAATAAAATTATATCCGTGAATTTTACTTCTGTTTATGATGTATTTCCTCACATTAGTAGTTTGCGCAGACATGCTTTTCTGGCCCTACTAAGTCACTGCTTGTTTCATGCTTTCTTAAATACATTTGGGTGTCCAAAGTTTCACATTTTATACTCTGGAACAGGCACCTCTCTACTGTATGAATAGTTCTAATCAAAAGAGCAGACACTCTAGTTAAGCAAATGATTAGCTTTGAGAAGAGGATCATGTGGAAAAGCCCAGTCCGTGGCTTTGCCAATAATTTTTCCTTATCATGCACATTAGGAAGATAGGAAGTGAATAGAGAAAAAAAAAGGAAAACTATATCCTTAATCAGAGAGAGTGTTACTTCATATACATCATTATTTAAGGAGAAAAAATGTTTGAAGATAGTGCCTCACTACTTAAATTTAAATTTTAAATCTTTTATGTGCAATAATTTTTTTTCAGTGATATGGGAGAACTGAATCGTCATCCAAGCATGTTTCTCTTGCTTTTGGTATTGGAGAGACTCTACCCTTCCCCAATGGATGGCACTACTTCTACTCTCAGCATGGCACCTTTTGTTCCTTTCATTATGAGGTAGAGTCATACTGCCTGGAAATAGTGGGGGCGGGTGTGGGGGTTTTATGGGAATATTTTATCTTGTTCTTATTTCAGAAATTATAGTAATTTTTTTTTTTTTTTTCCTATTTTTCGTCTATATATACATAGTGTTATAGATTTATTTATAAAGAGTACAGTAAGAATTACAATACTAATGAATAAATAGAACATTATAATAATATGCCAGTATCATTACTTTGTGTTTGGGGCCATTATTAAGTAAAATAAAGTTACCTACAACAAGTGCTGTGATACCAAGATAGTTGATCTGATAACCGAGTCGGCAATAAATGACTAATGGCTGGTGGCATATTAGCCTGAATAATGCTGGACAGAGGAATGAATCACATCCTGGCAGGAGGACAGCATGAGATTTCATATGCTACTAAGAGACATGCAGTTTAAAACTGATGAATTATTTGGAATTGCCATTAATGTTTTTGGACCACATTTGACTGTGTGTACTACAACCGTGGGTAAGGATATTTTTGTTTGCATTATGCAGTTTCAGTTACCTGCGGCCAACAGTGGTTTGAAATATTAAATGGAAATTTAGAAATAAACAATTCAATAAAAAAACAATCAATAATAAAAATACTATATCAATAATGCCTACATCACTTCATTTCATCACATTTATCATTCACATCATCACAAGAAGTGTGAGACAGGCGATAAGATATTTAGAGAGAAACACCATTCATTTAACTTTTATTACCATGTATTATGATGCGTTGCATTTATTATTAGTTGTAATCTTTAAATTGCTTAATTATAATTAAACTTGCCATAGTTGTGTAGTATAGGAAAAACGGTATATGTAGAATTTTGGGATATTCATGGTTTAAGCATCTACTGGGATCTGGAAATATCTACTACAGATAAATGACTCATAGTACAGTTTGTATCAACTCTGTTGTCTTACGCTGCTATGCATATGCTTGTACAACCTTCTGATACCCATGTTCAAGAGTTTATCTGGCTGTTTACCTATGAGTAGCGTTTCGATCACTGGTGAAAATCTCTGGTTTTCAAGAAAATTCAAATTCTTCAGAATTGTTCCAGTAATTTTCATTTTGTCAGCAGTTCAGAAAGTTCTAATATTGTATGTCAGACTTTTAGTCTTGCTAATTGAGGATATAAAATATTCTTTGGTGTAGTTGAGCTTCCTTTTTTTTTTTTTTGAGACAAGTTCTCACTTTGTTTGCCCCAGGCTAGAGTGAGTGCATGTGTCAGCTAGCACAGCAACCTCAACCTCCTGGGGTTTCAAGCAATCCTCTGCTCAGCCTCCCTAAGTTTGGACACAGGCCTGTGCACCATGCTGCTAATTTTTTCATATAATATAGTTGCCAATAATTTGTGTTCTATTTATAGTAGAGATGGGTCTCGTCTTGCTCAGGTGGTGTTCGAACTCCTGACTCAAAAGATCCACCTGCCTTCCTCCAAGAGACTTAGGATTACTGGCATGAGCCCGTGCCGGCCTTGAGCTTCTTTTAAATGTTTATTTGGCCACAAAATGTTTATTTTCTGTGAAGTGTATTTTGATAGGTTGTCCATTTTTCGAATTGTTGTCTTTGTGGTTATTAATTCATGGAGTCTTCATATATTCTGAATACTGATAGTAATTGCGATACATGCTACAATGTTCTTATTTGTGGTTTGTCTTTTTATTTTAATTTTTAAAACTTCATTATGAAATTTCAACTGTCAAAATGAAGAGATAGATAACTACCCCGATTCTATCACTCAGCTTTAGCAGAGACCAGCATTTGCCAATCTTATTCATCTATTTCTTACCCTCTATAAAGGAGACCCCAGACTTCCTGTAATAACTTCAGTATACATTACTCAGTGATAAAGGGTTAAAAGAAATAACTACCACCACTATTATCAATCTAACAAGATTAATAATTTATTAATATTCAGAATTTCCTTATTGTCCTAGAAAATGTCTTTATAGTGTTTTGGTAGAATTGGGATCCTAACATCATCCTCGACGTGATTTTATCTTTTTAGTTCATAAGTCTTGTAAGTATTTCTTAGTCTCGTAAGGTCTCTGTTGTCTGTAAATTTATACTACTTCCCTGCCATTCGACTACAAGTAATAACCTGATAATTTTCTTGGATGTCCCAAATTCTGGTTATGACTGAGTGCTTTCTTGTAGTACTATTTAAACTTGTCTTCTTTTTCCCATTTTTTGCTAAATGCATTTAAGTGAGAAATTGATAAATTCAAATTGAATGTTTCTTTAGGCAAGAATATTTATAGGTAATGGGTGCTTCCAAATGCATGAGACATTTAAAGTGGTCCCACCTTTGGTAATGCTGAGATTGATCGTGGGTTCATTCAGGTTGTGTTATCTTGATTATTCATTAGGAAGTCTTTCAACCTTTCATTTAATAGTTCGGCTTCCATTTATAATCACTGCCTTGAACCTAATTTTTTATTAGGGTATAAATGGTGATTTCTTAGATCTATGTTATTTCTCCATGTATTGGCTAGAATTCTTCTAGAGAACGTCTTTAATATTGTTACTATAATACATTTAGGGGATATAGGATATAATGTTTTCTTTTCCAGTTCTTTATTAATTTTCACAGTATTAATTGCTGTCCTAGCAACTTCCAATGGTGACCAGTAACATTGAGTTATTTACGAACTCATTATGCCATTGTATTAATGTATTTCAATGGTTTTTTATTATTTTTGATGTTAAAATGTCATATTCTCATAGACCATTGTGATCTAAAGCCTTATCAATACTCTCATTCCTTTTTGCATGATTCTCTTGCCCAGAACTTTAAAGGTCTTAGACCTTTACTCATTTGCAAGCTAGTAAGTTAATGTGCACAGATTTCCTATAAATGATGGAGTAGAAGGAATGGACACCTGAGGTCAAAATGAAGGGCAGTGTGTTACAGCAGTAACCAACAGTCCAGAGTATCAGCATTTTTGTGCCAGTGTCCTGAGCTCCAGTGCCACAGAGCAGTGCAAAGATTGTAGAGAGGGATAGATGGTACCTGTGTATCAATGGATTGCTTTACAGGAGAGGAATCAATTAGGGACCTTAATCTTTATAATGGGCAGTTAAACATGTCTTCCCTCTGTTCCAGAGGGGATACCATATCTTCCAAGGCTGTTCATTATATTAACTATAAACATCCTTGAATAGATCTAGAATGAAGGCAGTCACTGCACTTCACTTTGCAGTATGTACATAATGTGGAAGCTCATGGAGAATTGTTCCCAACATCTATCCTTATTCTATACGTCTTTTTATTGTTACTATGATTAAAGAGAGAGGGTCTTGAACTGTTGTCTAGGTGGAAAGCAGTGACACGATTGTAGCTCGCTGTAACCTCTTACTCTGGACACCATGTTTTGTAGTTGGATGACTTCACAGTAGGAATGACAACCACAAGGTGTGAAAAAAGAATGAGTCAATTATACCTCTGGGAGGCTTCTGTGAATAACCAAGCATAACCTTATTTGGGAGAGATCTTCACAGTCATATGTGGGCTATAGGATTCTCCTGGTGGTTTCTTAAACAATGAAGGTCTCTGATACCCACACCTAACGTACAACTCACTATGTTTTGAAAGAAGAAGCAAGTTAATGCCAACTTAAACTAAAGAAATGGAGTTCCAAGAGCACACCTACTGCCCCTGTAAAGAAAGCATTTGTTTATAATTTGGAAAACTCTCTACATCAGTTAAGCTGCATATATTGACAATGCCTTCAACATGGCCTAACAACCAGCTGTTAACTATAAAGTTCCTAGTTCAGTGCAAATAATTGATTCTAGTTTTTGGTTTGGAGAGACTGCTTGTGGCAGTCATTCCATCCTGCTCGGTTTTGCCCACACCAACAGCTGAGTGTCATTCGACTGCCCTTTGCAACGACTTAGCAATGGCTACAGAAAAGGGGGAGGCATCCAGAGTTGCGTGAAGGTTAGGTCCTGGAGCCAAGCCATTATGTACAGTTTTCTTGATAGTTTTCTCAGTAAGTTTTAAGGGAAAATAGTCAAATCATGCTTAGGCCATCTGATGGAGGATGACAGACCCAGCAGTTAGTTAAATTTAATGATTTCATGACAGTTTGGGAGAGCTACATTCCCCTTGGTGAAGGAAGCTCGTTTTCAGAAAATCAGAGACCCTTAACATTCTTCCTTCCCTCGTGCCTTCCCCAGGTGTCAAGGTTGTTCTCTCTCACACTGCCTCAAAATCACTGTACCATTTCAGTAGCTATAAGTGTACCACCTTTTTCCAGTTATTCCTACTCACCACACATTTGTCTAGAATGGTCAGTGCAAGAGAGATAAGGCATTTTTATAAAACTTATAGAAACCTATTATGTCCCATGGGCCACCTTAGGAAGATTCAGCAATAATGTACTCAAATAATGGTCATTATCTCTAGATTAGACCAGGTCAAATCCAGGTGGTATACAGAATTAAGTTAGAATCTTCTAAGGATTCTTGGCCAGACTGCCATATGGAAGTTGTACCACCTAGGCTGCCTGGAGTTGTCATTGGGGAAATAAGAAGCATGCCAGGAGTGGTCAGGGCAGAATTGTTAATTTCAAATAGGCAAAAACTTCATTTATTATTTGTATTTTTTCTTTAGCTCTTTTAAGTTTTGAATTCAGTAGAAATTTATTGTGTAGAGTAGGAGGCTGGAATTCAATTTTAATTGCCGTGGGTAATCAGTTATTATATACTTTTCTCTATGATCTATAGTGTCAGCTGATTCACAAATGAAATTTCATATATGTGTGTTCCTGTGTGTTCTATTTATTCGTTTCGTTCTCTCCACAGTGTCCTAATTTACCCAAGTTTTATGAATATTTTTAGCTATCTGATTGAGTTCTCCAACCTTCTTTACAATTAGCTTGCCACTCTTACTTTTGGCCCTTGGTGTGTCTATATACATTTTAGAATCTACTTGTCAGGTCACTTAGACACACATACACACAC